GTCGGATTTTTAAGGTATTTTGGCATCTATAGCTACGCATTCAAGCTCAAAGCTCTTTTTGAAGTACTATTTTTGGGGGGGGATTTTTAGTCTTTCTTAAGAATTCTTTTTCCCCATCATTTTAGCTTTGATATCCAATTTAGTAACGTTGTCTGCTCTTCAATTTCTTTGATTGCATTAAGACACATTTATTGTGAACTAGGAACATAAGGTTTACTTTTCCTTTCACATGTACACATGTATACAGGTATGATGAAAGCATCAAGAGAACAAGGTCAGCAGGTGTGGATGTTTCCAGCCTACGCTGGGACTGGGAGCACACAACAATGTAGCAATAACAACACAGGTGAGTAGTGAGGTACATTTGATATGGATTGTTGCAGAATATACCCTTTAAATTTAAGGCACTTTGGAGACAGTAAAGACGTACATTTAACTACAACATAGAACCTAAACCTCTATGTTGAAAAAAAAGAAGTTTTTTCTGAAGAGTTGGATTTTAGCACAATTGACTATTGTTCCATAATTTTCCACCTGTTTCATGTAGGGCAGTGACATGCACTTCACCAGTAGCACAGTACTACTATTCAGCCAGACTGAAGTCAGGGGTGATGAAGACGATGCTGCCTTTGGTGTGCTGGAACTGCGGCGAGGAGGAAACGCTGCCCATACCAGCAGAGAAGACTGCTGCATACCAGACAATAAACCCTGTTTGCCAGGTAGGCATACATTTGTTACCTACTTAAATACATTACGCAACTTATGTAGAATAGCTCTAAACATATTCTGTTTGGTTCCACCTTTATTGATATTCTTTCTCAAACGCTCCTATAGACTATTTGCATAGGTAGAAATGTAGTAATGCATGCAAAGGGTTAATCAGCAACTAATTTTGCCTTTTATGCTTTGTTTCTGCAGGTCTGCAAAATGTGATGAAAGAAACAGAACGGGACAACTGCTGTTCCACCTGATTCATTACTGTTTTGATATGAATAAAAGACTTCTTGCTTGTTTACACTGTGTCACCTCATTCAATTTGTGTCCTAACATGTGTCGTCTCTTAGTATATTTCTAATCTAGGCATCTTGTTTTTTTGGGCCCTTCTTGTTTTTTTTTCGCCCTCTCGCATTAGCTTTGGAGTCTCCAAAGGACGTCATCCATAAAATTTACTTGGTGTGGCCTAATATGAAAAAGGCTATAGCTAGGGTCTGGCATTTTTTTCTCGGGTCGGTCGGGAAACAGGAAACACAATATTTTTTCCTAGACCCACTTGCTGTGACGTCATGGCAATCAGTGGTAATGGCTCAGACTCTGATAGTTTTACTGTAAATCATTCCCAGCAATCAGATTGTTGCTATACAATTTTTTTACGCTCGAACATTTTGCAACAAAATCAAAGTATCATCAATGTATCTTAATTCGAAGGCGTTGATTTTTTTCGGAAGTAAAAATCAAAGTAAACCATGCCATACCTTTTCTGACACCCAGTGTTCTGGCTGAGAGCACACTTCAGCATACTGTCCAGAGTCATCAGGCTCACGTGTTGGAACACATCTATAGAGGAGCCGGGACCCAACTCTTCCCAGTTTTCCTATGAGACAGCAGGAAAAAAAAATATTACAGCATTGCTCATACATTTATTTATTTACTTTTTTATATTCGAACATCTAATCACAAGACGTGGTGACGGTACACTCAAGTTTTTTCAACTTATATTATAATGCCGCCACCAATAACCAATGCAATACTCATTTTCACCTGAGCGAAGTGAATAAAGTCGAGTAAAATGCCTTTTCAAAGGGCACACGATCGGTGGCATGTCAGGACTCGAACCCGGGACTTCTTGGTTCCGAGTCGAGAACTCTGCCGCTACGCCACACGACCCCACATTTATTTGTCAAGAGCCGTCGTTTTGAGGACCGTCTGTCTTCTTGGTCAAGACAGATGGTCCACTGTGCACTGTTACCTAGTATATACACTTCAGTGCATAGTGAACCAGTAACACTTCAATTCAGTGCACAGTCAAAATTGCCCTGATGAAGATGACACACGGGCATAAAAACGCCGGCTCCTGTTAAACAAGTGGTTGTAATTTAAAAAAAAAACTTTACTATTCGATTATTCATCAACATGTTGAAATTATTCACGGGTGCAAGATTAAGCAAATTACTATACATGTATTAGATTGATGAATGGATGCATTATCTGCAAAATGCAGTTAAAGATAATTCTTATACCTACCAGCATGACATTTGTACTGTCAGAAAAGAGCTTGACGTAAGGCCTCAGCACCTCGAAGTGGAATCCTGGTGTAAGAAGTCGCCGGTTCCGGAACCACTTGGCACCGCTGGTGGTCAGAAGACCATCCCCTGTTTTAGAATAGATCTCACTGGTATTAAAGATTTTTACCACCTAATCCATGGAGTTCATAGCGAAACCACTTTACATGGCAATCGACTGTGAAAGCCACCCTGTGGTCTGTGTACATTGTACCTATAAATAAAGTCCATATATGCTGGTAGAAGTCATTATGAAGCAAGATTAAACTGTAATTTCCAACACAAGAAATTGGACCCAAATTTCCCATTGTTAGGATACTACTTGGAGTAATACACGAATGAATCTTCTAGGATTAATCATGCTTGCAATTCACCAGAAATGTTATTTGATCTGGTACATGTACTATGTCTATGGCATTACGTATTACGTATTATCATATAGCCAGAAGGCGTCGACCATTCAGAATGCTCCATTTCCTATTGGTTATCAGGCCGTAACCTCAAAAGTGGTCGGTTATTAGAATAACTGACCACGTTTGAGGATACGGCCTACACCGCCTTATCCTCGGTGTATATGTTGATATAATCCCTGTCCAGGTACGATAACCACCTCATAAACCACCTCGATCGCTCCGCTCACTTGGTGGTTTATTCGGTGGTTATCACACCTGACCAGGGATTATCTCACCATAGACACCTCGGGCGGGGCATTAACCCTTTATTAAAGTCTGAGGTGAATGCTGGAAAAGGTTATAAACCATTTGCGTAATATATAGACGTAAATAAAAGGTACGGACTAACTTAGCCAGGGTCTCAGCAGTCCGTAGATTCGTTCATCCTTTTTATCTGTTGATAGAAAGATTTAAAAAAATGCACGAAGTTTTTCCTTTGTCAGAACGTAAAGTCATACATGATAAAATGCCACTTGAACAAGAGTTCCAAGATCTCATACAACTTGTATGCTAACAAAAATATCTTATAGGAAAATAGGAACACGGACAGAAATAATATTTCAGTTAGTTAGAAGTTTTTGGAACCATACTGTAGCTTTATGACCTGACCTGGCCGCTGTAGCACTGCTTTGATATAGTCTGGGTGATTCACCGACAATACGCCCTCTAGTGGACCATGTTTGAAGATGTAGGCGTATGGATATTGGACTGCCCATTCTAGTCCGATCTTGTCGAATTCCCGTTCACCATTTGCCAGCTGTAAAACGACAGAAATCAACATAAGTCAGTAAAGACTTAGACTGCCCACCTACTGATGAGACAGGAATTGAGAGTAAATATGAAGTAAATATTGATAAACATCATCCATCAATAGAACATTGCAATTATATATCTAGTCCACACAAGGTCTGCTACAAGTTATAGACCGGTCGGACCCTTGAATTTAATCTTACCTTAGATCGTGTACTTCTTTTCTATTGAAAATATGGCGTTTATTTGGAAAGAGATGACTCATTAAAAAAAGGAATTCTGAAATCTCACACCTCAATGAAATATGTATAGCTTCTGTAATTTCTTTTAAAGTTTGAATCTACTGTGCAAGTGTTACCCTTACTACTAATACTAGTACAAATGGCAAAAGGATTGTGATTTACAACGGCTTGGCCTTCGGTGCAACATGAAGGAACCAGAGCCAGGAAACCGAACATGAGGGCACTGTGATTGGTGGCAATTTGCTAGCTACGGCCTAGTTAAACTCTCAGCATACAACAAAGACTGTGGGGTCGTGTGGCGCAGCGGTAGCGCGTTCGGCTCGGGACCTAGAGGTATAGGATTCGATCCCCACCCATGTCACCGATCTTGTGCCCTTGGGAAAGGCACTTTACACGAATTTCCTCACTTCACTCAGGTGTAAATGAGTACCTTAGTAGCTTCGGTCAGGGACGTCCCTCGGATACGACGTAAACTGGAGGTCCCGTGTTTGAGGAGAGCCACACCTCAAGCGCGTTAAAGATCCCACCACACCTTTCGAAAAAGAGTAGGGGCATGCCCCGGTGTGCGATGGTCCAAAATTCTACAGCCCAAATACTACAGTGTAGAAGAATCATCAGCAAGTTGAAGTTGGCTACCTTACCCACCCCCCCCCCCCAAAGACCCCAAGACCAACACACAATCTCAGCTGCGGAAACGTACACAGAAACACAAACCAAAAACAATACCTTCACGGAGGTAACAAGTAAACTTCACTTACTAACACCAGGTGTCCGAGGAGCCAGTGTGCCCCTGCCGGGACAGGGAAGTCCTTCACCAGTGCCCACAGCGCTCGTAGTTTCCTCTGAACAGTGGTAATGACCTTTAATACCAGTGCCACAGCTACAGAATGCAGAACTGGGCGGCTGCGACTATCTTGGAATTTAAAGACGGCTGTTGAGTATGGTCCGCCGACATTGCTGTATGAGAGTAGAAACCTCCCAACGAAAAAACCGAATCTGTTCAATTTTGTTATTCTGTCGGGTAACGAGTGTACGCCCACCAAATAGTGTAGCAGGTAACATCAGATTTTGGAGGAATCTTTCAGATTGTGATACAAGCACCAAACTTGGTACAACTACTCATGAGACATTACTCTTTTGAAAAAGTACGCGGGCCACTTGATTTGACTTTTGGCGCCCCCTAGCGGCGCTTTTTGGTACTGCAGCCGACCTTTTGGGCTTTATATCTCCTGTTCTAAACATGTCATGATTTTTATGTGATAGAAAGCTGTTAAAGTAAGCAGGATGTGAAGTAAATTTGGTGTCTCTAGCAGCTCGCGTTTGAACTGCAGGGGCGTTGTGCACCGGCAAAAACGCCTCTGCAGTTCCAACGCAAGCTGCTAGAGACACCAAATTTACGTCACTTCATCCTTACTGTAACAGCTTTCTACCACATAAAAATCATGACAGTAGCATGTTTAGAACAGGAAATATAAATCCCGAAAGGTCGGCTGCAGTACCAAAAAGCCAAAAGTCAAATCAAGTGGCCCGCGTACTTTTTCAAAAGAGTAATGTCCCATGAGTATTTGTACCAAGTTTGGTGCTTGTATCACAATTTGAAAGATTATTTCAGTTATCTGCCCCACTAAAAACAAAGAGTGACCCCCTTTCCGTACTAACAAAACTGGTCCAAAAATTCACGAGTTGCACATTCCCAGGATCCTTTGCGCACAGGGTAGGGAAAGGTTGCGGTAAACCACGTGACTAATCCTCGGCTCTGGTCGGAAGAAGTCGGAAGTGTTCGCGAGCGCTCGGAAATTTCAAAAATGGCTGACACCACTGCCGGCGGGGGGAGGCACGTAGTTTTTCACGGCGTTCGTACGGCAAAGCGGCATCGAATTTTTGCTCCATGACTAACGGTATGGGATAGAATAGGGTTGATTCAACATACTACGTGAAAATGTGACAAAAAGACAGACTTTTGAAATTGAATGCTCCCAGCCTACTATCGGCCAGATAGCTTAGGGCACCTTCTTCCGACCAGAGCCGAGGATGAGTCACGTGGTTTACCGCGGCCTTTCCCTACCCTGTGCGCAAAGGATCCTGGGAATGTGCAACTCGTGAATGGCGGAAGGTGGGATGGTGCAAAGGTTATAGGTTATGTATAAATAAGGTCAGTTTTTGTTTGGTATATGATAAGAGGTTAGTTGTCCATTTTGAGGAGGTCGGCACTTTCCATTAGTGAGCATATCTTGTCAGCAAAGTCGTATCTTGGCCCTAGTGTGGTCATTCTTGGAATTGGAGTAACAGGTGGCAAGACGTTGGACACGTACGCCTACTGTAACTACTTATCTACAAGGCAAATCTATCCACCCCCGAGCTACTAGCTGGCTGTCGAACTGCATTATTGTCAACCTTGCCCTGTGCAACAGAGCCAAGCTTGTGGCTATTTATTAATGCGTCAGCATGGTGTAACCTCTGCAAGTACTAAGGGAAATACGTGTTGACAGGGAAGGAGTGTGCGTGTGGGTGTGTGGGTGTGTGTGTGTTGTAATCAAACGTTGGCCACTTTAAAATCTCCTTAACTCCGGTGTGACGTGAATTAGGACAATAAGACAGAAGCAGCTATTCATCTCATCTTTTAAATTCAGAAAACAATTTCAGTCGAAACCCGTGATAACTACCTTCACATAACTGTCTCAAACGTATCACGTTATTTCACTACGTACACAGGTATTCTCCAACCATTATATCTTCTTCTAGTGAGATGAGTATCTAAATTTTCACCAGATACAGAACCATTAAATTTCCAGTGAATTAATGAGATAGAGGGTCGCTATCTCATTTTTTTACTAGAAAGAGTATCAAAATTCTTCTTCCAGTCAATTAAAGAGATAGAGGGTCGCTGTCTCGATTTTTTTCACCACAATGAATATCACAAGTCTCTTTCTAGTGAATTAATGATTATTGCTAGTATTATACAATGTATATATCTTGGAGCGTACATGTGGTAGCTACATTCTAAAAGTGTTAGAGAAAAGTATAGATTCTTGGGGGACACCACAGGTTAAATTTTTCTGGGAAGAAGTACAGTTTCCACTCGATAGATATTGCTTTCTGTTATACAGGTAGTCTGAAAGCCAGTCAATGGCAGAATATATCTTTAAAACCATACGTCTTGATAAATCAAAATTTATCAAGAAGTATACCGTGATCAACCGTATCGAACGCCTTGGATAAATCGAGAAATATTCCGACGGTGAACTCATTATTCTCCAGGGCCGACGTGATTTTATCAATACACTGTAATATAATATAATATATAAGTTGAGTTGCGCAGTAATGCGTTATAACGATACAACCCTGACAGCAATTTTAGTAAAAGTAGTGCCATGGAGGATAATATTGAAACATTACTTCTGATTTGGTTGTCAAACTGCAACCTGACATTGGTGGCAGATACAAACGTATGTTGGTAATTTTTGTTCCAGTCTCCATGTTGTTTTAGGCTGTAGACTGTAGTGATGGTTTGAAGTTGGAAATTTTCTTCATTGTTTTCTTTATTGTGCAAAGTCAACTCCATGCATACGAGATACATCACTGTTTCTTCTTGGTTAGATGTTAGATGAACAAAAATACAAATGATGTATCTTGAATAAGAATGTAAGCAATATTTTGCTAAAAGATTTACAGTCATTGTCCTTAATATATTTTTAGATTATCATGCAGCTTGTGCAGTATATGCACTGTGTGAGTTACAAAAATGAATCTTCATGGGAGTCATACAATGTTTCATAATTAGTATAAGATATTTGTTCTTACACTTGATATTACTAGGATTGTATACATAAGTCATTCTGGCTTTATCTAGAAAAATGATAGAAAGTTTCAATTGGTAAAAGGATTCTTCTGATCTCTGTCTCTCTCTTTCTATGTGCAGTTTCTCACTTCATCAGTGAGGCATATGTCTGTAAAAGAAACACATAATACTCTGATTTCACAGCGACTTTATTGAAGTCTTTAACTACATGTAGACATACAGACAGATACGTGGGTACAATGAAATTGACCTACGTACAAGACAACAGATACATCATATAGCCTGGTACAAGATGGGGCTGCAGATACTGGATATATCTGCTACAAAGAGCGTTTTTAGAAGACGTAGTAAGATCAACAAAGTTGATGCATCTTAGAGTAAACTTTACCTTGTAATCTTGAATGATCCGGTCCAGAGTCACCTTCAGGTCCGGAAAAGTTGGTCTGTTCTCAGGGAGGGTTTCCCAACAGCGCCTCATCACATCGTAACTGTTGCAGACAGAATACATGTAATACAAGCATCAACAAAACAGGTAATTCACTGAAATTTTGACAAGGCGTATATTTTACATGTAAACATTCGATGTGGATCTCTTTGTCGGTAGCCAGGTCTCATTAAAGGGGGCCCGAGCAATAGACAATGCAAAAACTATCACTGAACCCCCCTCCATGTTTACTTATAGTAATGAGTAAAACTACGAAGGCCCAGAACTACAAAAGTGACAGTGTCTGCAGCGGTCTGCAGAGGTGCTTACAGACGGCGTCAGAGGTTTTGCACACAGCCTCTTCCTCTTTGAGCACTTCAGAGGCCGCAACATTTGTCGTTCTGGGCTTTCGTATAAATTAAAGAAAGGCTGAATACAAGGGCTGTAGACGTACATCTCCTGAGGACATAGGGCAGGTTTCTCCAGTCTGTAGCCATCCGGCAACAGTTTCATGAGCTCTTTGCCGGTCATCCGACCGTACGGTTTCTTACCTGGAAGATAATTTAGTATATCACGATTAATCACAAAATTGTGTACATGTACAGATACATGTACATATATGGAGGCATTTGGACAAGGTGTCTACATGTTAATCGGCATGAAAGAAGTATGTATCACATTTTGAAATGCAATATTACATTTCTTATGCGATGATGGAAGAGACTTTGACATGATAACGTTGTGTCAAATACTTGTTTCCACTGCTTAAGAGCATCGTCGTTTGTACTTACCCATTGTCGTTTGTACTTACCCATTGTCGTTTGTACTTACCCATTGTCATGATTTCCCACAGAAGGACTCCAAAGGACCATCTGAAATGTAGAAAATACAACCCATTCCGATGTAACTTCATTTATCTATAACCCCCGATATGAATTTAATATTACAGAAATGCATATAAATTTTATGGATGGATCTATGGTTACTTAAATGCTTACTATGCCGAGATGTAGGAAAGTGTCAGTAGAATATACATACACATCACTCTGTGTGGTGTACGTGTGGTAGAAAAGGGACTCGTATGCCATCCAACGGACAGGAAGCTGGCTCTGGAGAACGGAATGTTAAGATACAATCAGAAAAGATCAGATTCTTGACATTTGCAAACGACTTTTCAAGATCGTATTAGTTTTAAAGAATATGAGACGACGGAGACATCATACCTTGGTGCTCTTGACGTACTCAGTGTCCTCGTAGATATCCCGAGACAGACTAAAGTCCGTGATCTTTGCCGTCAAATCCTTCCCGAGGAGCACGTTCCTGACGGCAAGGTCACGGTGGACACACTGGATGAATGAACGGTTACATTGTCATACTACAGTGTAGTTATATAACACGTAACAGAAACCAGGAAAAACTTCAAAACTCACATTCATCATTCAGAAATTTCAAGGTTAGCATAGGTTTAGAGGTTGATGGACAACGATAAAGTTTTATGATGATATGTAATAATAATATGTCTTTTTCAATCGAGATGACTTTCGCGATCGGTCGCATGTGTTCTTTCATAGCAAGAATGAACAGTACCTTTCTTAGATTCTGTTTCAACATTGTCTACCAGTGCGTCTGTCCTCTCCCTACCCACAGATGAACTTTATGTTGTTGTTACTTGTCATCAAAACAACATTTGATGTGCTAGTACGGACTATAGACACGGTTACGTGCGTGATATAAGGTCATGGTCTGATCCTCAGATGCATATCGTCTCTGCAAAATTTGGATACTAGTACCAATGAGGACTTATCAAATCTTATCTTTACTGTAACGTTGTTAAGAACCTTTCGACAAATTACTCTTTTAAGATATTTCAATATTTGTAATAATAGTATGGTGTATTTAAGATTTTAAACATTTGACAGCTGTATAGCCAATTTGAAATCGTAATAATGTTGTATTTTGTAACCAGACCCAACAATTCAGCCGAATGCATCTCGGCTGCCAGTGGGTCCTGGGATTTACTTGTTCATCAACAATAAACCAGTCTATATGTGACTACAAAAGTCTTGTGCTTGGTCATGTTGGTAGGGAGGATGTAAAGAAAACCAGCAACTTGCAACTCTTCGACACAGGAAAGTGCTTGTGTACCTGCATGGCAGCCAGATGACTCATCCCATTCGCGATGTCAATACCGAACAGAATGAGTTGGTCCATCGGCAGCTCAATCCCGTCGTCTGTCTGGTCCAGTTCCTCAGGACGGTTGTCCTTCAGCCAGTCCTTCAGACAGCCGTTTGGTGCGTACTCAACCACAAGTGTCAGTGGACCTAACGTGGATATCCGGATAGTAAGAGGAAGGATCTAAACTGATACTGAAGTTCTGTAAAGCGTAGAAGTTTTCAGATGACATCCACCAGTTTCCTTCAGCAACTGACGAGGCTACTTACCTGAAATGCCAATTTTAAATTTTACAAACTTTCTGACTTAAAAAAAATTCTTTACAGCAGACGAATAATATGTACATAAGTAGTGACATCACATCGCGAATTTGGGCTTTAACACTAGTATTACCTTCTACTGTGCATGCGCCAACCAGACTGATGATGTTGTCATGACGACCGACAGTGACCAGAATCTCCAGCTCACCCAACAGGTCCTGTTTGTCCCGGTCTTGGGCAGATGCTGAAAAAATGATGAAATTGTAAGAAGAAAGAAACAATTCACAAATTCATTATTGTACAATTGTAACAGGTCGTAAAGCTGATTAACAAGTGTTTCGTTATCCCATATATTGTATGGCCAATATGATGGGTTGTCTTTACCTCTCTCTATCTCTATGGCAATCACTCGTGATCTTTATTTGCAGCCGGATACAGATTCATGTACAGATACACAGTCATTCACAGATACAGATTCATGTACAGATATACAGATACAGACTTTCCGAGTAGGATGACCGTTTTGAGGACCGTCTGTCTTCTTGGTCAAGGCAGACGGTCCACTGTGCACTGTTACCTAGTATATACACTTCAGTGCATAGTGAACCAGTAACACTTCAATTCAGTGCACAGTCAAAATTGCCCTGATGAAGATGACACACGGGCATAAAAACGCCGGCTCCTGTTAAACAAGTGGTTGTAATTAAAAAAAAACTTTACTATTCGATTATTCATCAACATGATGAAATTATTCACGGGTGCAAGATTAGGCAAATTACTATACATGTATTAGATTGATCAATGGATGCATTATCTGCAAAATGCAGTTAAAGATAATTCTTATACCTACCAGCATGACATTTGTACTGTCAGAAAGAGCTTGACGTAAGGCCTCAGCACCTCGAAGTGGAATCCTGGTGTAAGAAGTCGCCGGTTCCGGAACCACTTGGCACCGCTGGTGGTCAGAAGACCATCCCCTGTTTTAGAATAGATCTCACTGGTATTAAAGATTTTTACCACCTAATCCATGGAGTTCATAGCGAAACCACTTTACATGGCAATCGACTGTAAAAGCCACCCTGTGGTCTGTGTACATTGTACCTATAAATAAAGTCCATATATGCTGGTAGAAGTCATTATGAAGCAAGATTAAACTGTAATTTCCAACACAAGAAATTGGACCCAAATTTCCCATTGTTAGGATACTACTAGTACTTGGAGTAATACACGAATGAATCTTCTAGGATTAATCATGCTTGCAATTCACCAGAAATGTTATTTGATCTGGTACATGTACTATGTCTATGGCATTACGTATTACGTATTATCATATAGCCAGAAGGCGTCGACCATTCAGAATGCTCCATTTCCCATTGGTTATCAGGCCGTAACCTCAAAAGTGGTCGGTTATTAGAATAACTGACCACGTTTGAGGATACGGCCTACACCGCCTTATCCTCGGTGTATATGGTGATATAATCCCTGTCCAGGTACGATAACCACCTCATAAACCACCTCGATCGCTCCGCTCACTTGGTGGTTTATTCGGTGGTTATCACACCTGACCAGGGATTATCTCACCATAGACACCTCGGGCGGGGCATTAACCCTTTATTAAAGTCTGAGGTGAATGCTGGAAAAGGTTATAAACCATTTGCATAATACATAGACGTAAATAAGAGGTACGGACTAACTTAGCCAGGGTCTCAGCAGTCCGTAGATTCGTTCATCCTTTTCATCTGTTGATAGAAAGATTTAAAAAAATGCACGAAGTTTTTCCTTTGTCAGAACGTAAAGTCATACATGATACAATGCCACTTGAACAAGAGTTCCAAGACCTCATACAACTTTTATGCTAACAAAAATATCTTATAGGAAAATAGGAACACGGACAGAAATAATATTTCAGTTAGTTAGAAGTTTTTGGAACCATACTGTAG